CTACTGAGAATTTATAAAGAAGAACATTAGAATGTGAAGATAGGTCTTCTAGCCAAGACGTATGATTGTCATTTTTCTTAGTTAATTTTAGGGACTTTAAGGATCACAATCCTTAATAAATTCTGAAAATTAGCAAAAGGATGGCAGCTTGGAATACTTACATGATTGTTTCTACCTTGCCATTAAAAATAGTACATCGAGAACATTGAATGGTCTCTTTGAGATTGATGTAATTTCAAACCATTGCAACCCCCTCTCATCCCTGTAAAATGTCTTTTCTTCTTTGAATACTTACTGGCCTAAAGTGAACGCAGGGAATGGAAATATCTTAAAACCCCAGAAAATTAGGACTTTTCACTTTCTGAGACTTGGAGAGAAAAGTCTTCCTTGTGAGGAAATCAGTAAAACAAGATACTGTAAATAGGTGGTATTTTTCAGAGCAAAAAAGACCTGACCTGGTTCTTCTGCAGAAGTGACTTTCCAGAAAACCAGTGTTTTCTTCCATCTCTGACCTTTCTGATTCATAAAGAATATGCTACAAATATAGGAGGTGGTTGGGTTTTTTGTTCAGTCAGTAGATCTGCATATTGAGAGATAAGGTCCTCCTGTTTTTAACTTCCAGTTTCTAACCTTGAAACTGGAGCTAGAATATGAAACTAAAAAATTGCTTTTAATCCTTTCAATAGAAGATTAACAAACCTGACCCTTGTCTTTCAATTGCAGACGTGATGGCAAGGCTCTTGAAAGATTCCTGCAGGATTATTTTGATGGCAACCTGAAGAGATACCTGAAGTCTGAGCCCATCCCAGAGAGCAATGACGGGCCAGTAAAGGTGAGGTGCCCATAGCTTCACCAAGGCTCTAAGCAGCTGCCTCTCCTCATTGTCCCCCGATCTTAGTTTTATTAAGATATAATTGACTCTCCTCATTTCTTAACCGACTGAGCCATCCAGGTGCCCCTTCTTCTCGTTTCTCATATTCCAAAAATGCTTCGTCTAAGTGAAGACCTTGTTGGCTGTCATGTTTTTGGTTTTGTTTGTCCTCCTCTCCCTGAGTCATAAAATAAGCATTGGCAGAGCTCATGATGCTCAAGGGGCAAGAGTATAAAATCTTCATAGAATTTATTTTGAGAGAGAATGTGCACAAGTGGGGAAGGGGCAGAGAGAGAAAGGGAGAGAGAGAATCCCAAGCTCCACTGAGCATGGAGCCCAATGCGAGGCTCAGGCTCATGGCCATGAGATCATGACCTGAGCTGATATCCAGAGTCAGACACTTAACCGACTGAGTCACCCAGGTGCCGGCTTCATAGAATTTTTGTTAGTATTTATATTAGAACTAAGTTACTCTTCAGGGTAGAGCAAGCTAACCTCTAAGAATAGTTTTGAGATTGTTGCTTTGAGATTAAGGAAGGGTTGGGTAGCACTTATTTCCTATGACTTACTGAACAAAGTTTGACAGGTGACAGACCTGGGAATGAGTTTGTTTCTGGAAAATGGTCAGAAACATCTTTAATATAGTCTGTAGATGCTATTTGGGTTTCAATGACATATTTTCAGGGACAACACAGCACATTTTGATAGGGTTTAGGTGCAGAAACAAATACAGCATGTGGTGAATTTTTATTCTTCATCTTGCCTTACCAACTAGAGAATCTTTGGTGTATTCCAGGTAGTGGTAGCAGAGAATTTTGATGAAATAGTCAATGATGAAAATAAAGATGTGCTGATTGAATTTTACGCTCCTTGGTGTGGTCACTGTAAGAATCTGGAGCCTAAGTATAAAGAACTGGGAGAGAAGGTAAGTCTGAACCATATTCTGAAGATAAATTTTGAGTTGGGAAGTTGACACATAATTCAGCATTGGCTAGTTACCCTAATTAATTCAGTACCTGTGTCCTGGTAGATTTTTTTTTTTTCAGCTGTCTACTCTTTATTTTCTCCTGGCTGACCCGCTAGTGTCTCTAGCCTGTGCAGTGCCTCAGATACCTGTTTTTGATATTCCACTCCTCAGACTCAATCTAGATTGTGGTTAAAAGTATCCAGGCTTCTGAATTTTGGTAATGGCGTGTATGAATCCATTATGTTTCCCTTGTAATGTCTTATGGAAGTCACGTAATTTTGAAGGTAGCTATAAACAGAGTCTTAATATGTAGAAACCAAGAGAGAAAAGGGATGCCTTTGGAAAGCTAGATATTATGTAAAGTGTCACTACACTTCCTACTGGAGCAGAACTTATCCAGGTGTTTAAAAATGAGGTTATTTTAAGTGTTGATTTGACTAAGTGTCCCTTGGTCACCAGAAACTTTAAAGGTTTAACCTTTTTTATTAACAGCTCAGAAAAGACCCAAATATTATCATAGCCAAGATGGATGCTACAGCCAATGATGTGCCTTCTCCATATGAAGTCAGAGGGTAAGTAGATTAAAAGCTAATAAAAGTGTCTAGGCAATTGATAGGAAAAAGTAAGCTTGCAAACTATTTATTGGGCATAGTTTAGGGAGTGGATCCCTCACTGCACTTGAACATGGAACCAGATGCCTTTTTGGCTTAGAGTTCTACTGCAAGGGTCCACATGACTGCCACAGATTTGTGAGCACTGATAGAGAGTGGTATCTGGTCAGAAATAGAAATCATGAAGAGAAGTTATTCCCAGAAAGTTATTGGGGAAGTATATGTTGGACTTACCCTGGAATCTGAAAATGAGTTCACTTTTTTTTTTTTACACCCAGTTTTCCTACCATCTACTTCTCTCCAGCCAACAAGAAGCTAAACCCAAAGAAATACGAAGTAAGTGCGTTGTCTCATCTCCCCACAGATACACACATACACATACATATTCAGTTCTTTAAATTTTACTTAACTGGAAACTTCAGTTTCATAGTCATTGTATGTGATTGCTAACATGCTTTTGTAAACTCAAAAGTCTTCCTATTGGTGAAAAAAAATCCAGGGTTCTTTAAAAGGTTAAATTTTCAGAGTAATCTTTCTGTTTTCAGGGTGGCCGTGAATTAAGTGATTTTATTAGCTATCTACAGCGAGAGGCAACAAACCCCCCTATAATTCAAGAAGAAAAAGCCAAGAAGAAGAAGAAGGCACAGGAGGATCTCTAAAGCAGCAGCCAAACATGCCACTTTGTAAAAGGACTCTTCCACCAGAGATGGGAAAACCATTGGGGAGGACTGGGACCCATATGGGATTATTACTCTCAGGGCAGAGAGGACAGAATGGATATAATCTGAATCCCGTTAAATTTTCTCTAAACTGTTTCTTAGCTGCACTGTTTATGGAAATACCAGGACCAGTTGATGTTTGTGGTTTTGGGAAAAATTATTTGTGTTGGGGGTAATGTTGTGGGGGTGGGGGGGATTGAGTTGGGGGGTTATTTTCTAATTTTTTTTGTACATTTGGAACAGTGACAATAAATGAGCCCCCTTTAAACTGTCTTTTTTCCAGGAGATAGGGAACCAAAGATTTTCTAGATCAGCACTGTCCAATAGAATTTTCTGGAATCTTGGCAATGTTCCATAATTTTCATTGTCTAACACAGGTAGTTACTGAACATTTGAAATGTAACTAAGAACTACATTTTAAAATTTCATTGATTTCAATATTCACACCTAGAGCTACTGGCTTACCATATTGGTCAGTGCTGCTGTAGACCAGCTAACTAGGTCCATAGTCATCACCTATAAATCCATTCTACCTTTCGTCATTTTCTGTCTTTACATGTTTATTGCCCAGGCCCCTGGCCTGATGACTACAACAGGTGAGGGACTTTTTTTGTTGGGTCTGTTTCAGGCCCTGCCCATACCCTAAGGATGGGTTACTGTTTACCCTTGTCATGCAGCTGAGCATGTTTATACCTCCCAAGGCTAGTCTCTGCCCAAAAATGCCCTGTATGGGTGTGGCATCAGTTTGGGGTTCCATCCAAGTTGTTTCAGGAATTGCTGACACTGCTGGGTGCACCTCTCTCCCCCACAGCCCAGGTGTGGCCCATTAACTTCCTTCTCCAGTGGAACTGGGAAAGGCATATCATTCCTGGTTGTGAATGAAGCATCCACTTTCTTCTACAACAGTGGGGAACAAAAAGGATAGGACTGACATGAACTTTTGTTCAAATGAATTTCCCTGTTTTCTGGGTAAATCCAAATCCTATCTGTATTTAAAGTTTTTAGTACTAGATAATTCCAGATAGGAGCCCTATTTGTAGATGATCCTCAAACTCTATGGTTTGAAAAAGAGAACTTTATTCCTGTTGTAATCTCTAGCTGCCAATTATAAGATGGATTTGATAGAGCCTTAATAGCAAAATATATAGCAAGATCATCCTTAGTGCTTTGAAAAAGTAAAGATGCCTAACCATAACCTTGAAGATTCTAATACATAAGACCTGGGCTGGGATCTGGGGATCTAATTTTTCAGAGCACCCAAGAAATGGTACAAATAGATAGTCGTAGGTAATAACTATTGCCTTGAAGAGTTTAAGGAAAGCATACAAACTTATACAGAGGACACAGAAGCAATCAGTTTTCATTTTTTAGCCATGTTTGTAAAAGAATTCACTTTTAGTACATGGGGAACAGCTAAGCCCTTTCCCATTATATCCAGGTGTATTACAAGTTCTTTTAGCTCTGTTACCAAAAGTTCTCTCTACTGTTGCTTTAGGGAGGCTACCAGGCTAAATTCTAATGTTCTCAAGGTATCTTGTCCTGGGAATGGTGTCATTTCTCAGGATTTGAAAATGACTTGGCTGAACTAAAGATGAAGAAGCCAAGCCTCTGCTACTCTTCCTAGTCTCCTGGGCACAGTTGTGGAATCTTGGCACTGTGCCCACATCCTAAAAAGTAAAATGTGACAACAATGAAAGTGAAATCTTAAAGAGAATAGAAGAGCTCTCGTACTTGCCACCATGGACTCAGCAATAAGAAGAGCAGACAGTTGCACTCTGCAGTTTATAGTTGCTTTGTTCCTTCATATCTCACTGAGCAGAGAGAGGGTAAAGAGCCTTCTGATAGCTTCAGCTGCCCCTGTTTTTTTCCTCAAACTCCAGGATGAGACCTTTAATGTGGGACAATTTCTGATGCAGGTACTCACAGCGACGCTTTTCTTCCCTGTAACCTGGATACCGCTGCAAAGAAAAAGCATCCACATCAAAAAAAAAAAAAAAAGATCTACCATTTCTACCTTCTTGCTACCATTCCCAGACCTTATCTTACCTTCCTGAACTTCTTATATTCCTGGACTATTTTTTCTTCCAGCACCTGAAACAAAGAAAATGCTAGCACCAAGTTGAACCTTGAGAAAAAACTGTTTTCTTTCTTTTCTTTTTTTAAGCTTACTTATTTTGAGAGAGAAAGTGGGAGAGGGGCAGAGAGAGAATCCCAAGCAGGCTCTGCACTATCTGTACAGAGCCTGAGGAGGGACTCAAACCCAAAAACTATGAGATCGTGACCTGAGCTGAAGTTGGGCACTTAAGTGACTGAGCCGCCCAGATGCCCCAAGAACTCCAGTTTTCTGAAGGGAGAGCAATAACTTCCCATCTCATTCTATCAAATGATAGAGATTACTTTTTCTCAAAACAGACTTGGCTTGCAACTTTGGTTACCAGTCTTCTGAGCAAATTAGCAGGGAGTTTATGGCCAGTAAGGCTAGAAAGTCAGCTTGGGTCCAGTCCTTACCTTATGTTCTGGAGTTCCTTGCTGAACTCTCTTGATCTCCGCTCCCAGCTCTCTGAACCTTTGGCTTGCAGCCCCAACACGAGCATGGAGGATGCGGTATTCAGTATAATCCATCTCAAAGTCCTGCTCATAAGCATGTTGCTGCTCTGCACTGTGGATGGCTGTGTATTGCCTGCCAGGAGCAGAATTGTCACCTTTAATTTCATTGCCCCTAAAAGCTTCTAGGTCACAGGAAGTTTATCTTAATATCTCCTATGTACAAGGCTTGATAAAATTGGAAGTAGCAGGGGACTCACAGGAGATAATCTGGTACTTCTTCAGGGCTTGGGGATTCAGAATCTAGGAAGGAAGCAAAAGGACAGAAAAGTGATTAGCTGTTTTTCCAACTAGAACAGTTTTGCCCTTCTCTCATTTAACTCACCTGCTTGAACTGAGGGACTGTGTTCCAGCCTGGAGCCCATGTCTTTATCTTCTTGCTCCCAATCTCCCTCTTGCAGGTCCTCACTGGGCAGTGCTTGTAGGGGACTTGGAGCTAAAGGCAGGGTTCTGAGCCTCTTTTCTTTTAGTTTTCTAGTGGTTGCAGGTGCTGGGCGCTTCTATTGGGGAAAATGTCACATAAACAGTAAGCCAGAGGTGTATTCTGCACTTCTCTTGAAAATTAATTTCATAGAATGAACTCTGGGAGCATCAGAATAAAGGCTCCTAATTTTATTTTATTTTTTTTCAACGTTTATTTATTTTTGGGACAGAGAGAGAGCATGAACGGGGGAGGGGCAGAGAGGGAGGGAGACAGAATCGGAAACAGGCTCCAGGCTCCGAGCCATCAGCCCAGAGCCTGACGCGGGGCTCGAACTCACAGACCGCGAGATCGTGACCTGGCTGAAGTCGGACGCTTAACCGACTGCGCCACCCAGGCGCCCCAAAGGCTCCTAATTTTAAAATTTAGCCTGATCGAACAAAGATCTCTTGGAAAATCCGCTGCTAAAATCCCTGGACAACTCACCTTGTCCGAATGTTTCTGGCTAGCTGAGGAAGGCAGTGCCTGATCAGGTTCTCTGTTTGGAAGATGGGTCTGGTTTCTAGGATATTTGAAGAGGGAATGAGAGAGATGAAGGCCAAGGTAGGGCTAGATCTCTTATTAAAGCATTTAGAGTGGAGATTAGAAAGAAAGGCAATTCCACAGATTCCCAGGTTAGTCCCACCCTGCCCCAGGTACCTCACTTCCCACTGTGCCATGTGTTCCTCTGAGGATCCTGGGAGTGACTGTCTTTGGCTGCTTGCCAGTGGATCTGGCACCTGGCAGGGAAAGTGGCAGGGGCACTTGGCTCTCTGGGCTTCAGGCTGTGCCCCACCTTATTCCAGCCACCTGCAGTTTGTGGCCTCACCTCTTTTAGTGCCATTTGTGGCTGTGAAACTGTGTCTTCCTCAGAATAGTCTCCTATGTTCTGCCAACTCTCAGGATCTCTGGCACTGTCAGTTAGGTTGTGTCTCTGAACTGAAGATGGGGCAGGGATGGAATCCATGGCTGCCCAAATAGTGAGGCGTTCCCTGAGTGGGCCCAGGCAGTGGAGGTGGTTAGGCCCAGATCTGGAAAGGGGTGGTGGAAAAAAATCCCAGGAGGGTGGACTTTTAAGTACCTCTGGAATCAGCCTCCCCAACTTTCCACAAACCCTTTTTACCTGCTACCGGTTCCCCCTTACCTGCCTAAGCGTTGGTACACAAGGTCCAAGCCACCAGGGCCCTCTTGGCCACACTGGGACACTATGAAGGAGAAGAGGCAGGACCAGCCGGGTCCTGGGAACCTTAGATACTAGAGGCAAAAGGAGAACCATAAGCCCCATGAAGTCAGCCCCTCCCCCTCCTTCCATTGCCATTCTTCCCTTAGCCAGCCCTAAGATTGAAGATGGGTCCCACGGGGCTCGTTAGTACATACACCAGGTGCAGCTGGGCTTGAGTCCCCCAGGAGAATGAGACGACATAGTCTCCTCAACCGCAGCCTCCTGGGACCACAACCCCAGCAGCCCCCTCCGCCCCACTCGGAGTTCACTTCTCGGAACTTCCTCAGACGGTGACTGCTGTCAGCCTTCCCGCCTTGGCCGCACCTGCCCAAAGCCTACTTCTGTTCTCCCCGCACTCCACCTCTTTCACACAACCTAGGCCCTTACTTACCCCTCGGTTGCCTTGGAAAGCGATCACTGGCCGAACCTGCGGGGAGAGCAGATGCGAGCTGAGCGCAGGTGAAGTGGCATTCCCAGGATCCGGCGTCAGGTGCCCGGGGTGGAGGTGGGGGGTGGGGGGATAGACACCTGCCTCTCGGGCTTCACTTGGAGAGGTGGGGAGATCAGAACCTACGGAAGCCACGCCCCAGACCCCAGGTCCCTTCGCCAGGGTCGCCGGCTGAGGCCCGAGATCCCGAGAGGTAGAGAGAGAGGCTAGGAAAGATGGGGCCCTGGGGTCCGCCGCACCTGTTGCCGCCGACACTCTTGCAGCGCCCGCAACGCCGCGTCGTTCAGCCTGAGCATCAGGAGGCTGGTCCCGGCAGCGGGGGTGAAGCAGAGTTGGAGCTTCCCACTCAGAAGCTCCTGGGGTGCCTCCATGGCTGCGAGGTCGAGCGCAAGCAGAACAAGAACCAAGGGCAAAGGCGACTACCACCACTTCTGCTGTACAGGGCTAGGCTGGCACTCCTGGTAGCCCAGGTCGGCCCCGCCCTCCGCCAGGACCCACCCCTGGCCCCACCTCCAGCCAGCGCCACCCCTGAGGTTTCCCAGCCGCTTGGGCGGTGCTTCGCTATCCCCCAGATGTCTGCGCAAACCGGCCCACTGGTTTCTTAGATCGGCATGCACCACACTGGGCTTTCGATAGGGGTTATCGCAGTTACAGGAGTAAAGTCTGCGGCCAACTTTAGACCCCTCACCTAAAATCCCCAGTCGTGCCTCAGTTTCCCTAGCCAACCTGAAGTCGGAGTTGCTGTCTCTAAGTGAAGCTGAACCTGCAACCCCTAGAATATTTCAGAAGCTGAGGAGGCGGGAGCGGACCTGGTTGCTGGGCTGGCTCAGTAGATCGCACCTCAGAGGCCAAGAGCTCCCAGGGACCAAAGAATGGCAGACCCGAAGGAGTATTTCTGATGCCAACACCTGGCGCGGCACTTTTGCTTTTTCCGGCCTGCGGTGCTGCCGAGGACTCGAAGACGATTTCTAACTGAGGCTGGAGAGAAAATCAGACCCGGTGGGTGTCTGGCAGCGGTGAAAATTGGCTGTCGTGGTCTGGAACGGACCCCTCCCATCCCCACCGGTAGGCGAGGATGAGGGGTGTGGGTATTGGCAGGACAGTTGCAGAGCAGAGAAGGAGGGCTCAGTCACAGGTCACCGCTCCTGGCATATACACGTGAGACTGGTGTGAAAGGCAGCTGGCCCACTCCCTCAGGAGGGCCAAGAGGTGCCACGAAGTTGTGAGACATTCTGGAGGTTCAGATCCTGGTGCATAGAAACCCCAGGAACAATTTCAGGTTGGCCCTGGTGTCTCCACTTGTCTCTGTTTATGTTTTCCAAGAGTCTTGATGTTCTCTTTCCTGGCCAGGATCCCTCTGTTAAACCCCTGGACCTACATAATCCCAGGTGACCTTAATGCCCTCCATCCCAAATCAGATTACCTATACATTTGTCAAAACTCATCAAACAGTACACTTAAAATATGTATATTTTAATGCATGTAAATTAGTCCTCAATAAAGGTAATTTTAAAAAATGGTGTAATAAATCTCCAACTCCAATAACAAAAACATTTATCTTTCCATCTCTTTGGGTCTTTCTGCTTCTCTGTGTGACAGTTTCTTAATTTGATTAACAGTGTGGCAGTGGGTAAAGCTGGTGTCCCAGTGTTCCTTTTCTTCTCAGATGACATCTGTGGACTTTTGTTGGATTTTCCTGGATTTAAACTCAAAGGAGAGCCCAGAATTGTCAAATTTTTCAGAGAAGAGGGAAGGAACAGTGCTATAAGAGGAGGCAAGTGGGAAAGATATTTGGGGAAGGGAGAAGGGAGGTAGCAATCTAACATGCTGGATGTCCATTGTGTGTCAAGATCTTTGCATTTAATTTAATCCCTAAAATAATTTTAGAGTAGATACTATCACCCACATTTTTCATTCACTCATTCAACACATAATTATTGTACCAGACATTGTGCTATATCCTTGGATACATCAATGAATGGATTTCTTGCTTTGGAGAACTTATTCCAGAGGGGAAGAAGGCACTATAGACAAAGCTAAGAAATAAACATAAGAAATAACACTGTATGTTAAAAGGTGCTATAGATAAAAGAAAACATAGAGCAAGGTAAGTGGGTTTGGAAGTAGAGGAGGAGGAAGTCAAGAGGGGTGGAGAGGGTTGACTGTATATTAAGTAAGGTGATAAGAGATGGCCTTAGGGAGAAGATGAAATTGGAACATTGCCCTAAAGGAGGTGAGGGGATTGGCCAAACCAAATCCCCAAACCATACAGTTGGAGGAAATGCTTTCTAGTCAGAGGGACTGGCCAGTGCAAACTCTGTAAATGAGTGAGAAGTGTGCCTGGAGTGTTTGAGGAAAAGTTGAGGCCTATGTAACTGCATTAAAGTAAGGGTGAGAGTAAAGAAGTGAAATCAAGAAGGTAAGGAGCAAGGGCAGATCAGGTCCTGGAGGACCTTGTGGACTACTATAAGAACTTTGGATTTTACTCTGGGTAGTCACTGCAAGGTTTTGAGCAGAGGAGTAACAAGACGTCACCTCTATTTTCAAAGGATCACTGTAGTTGCTGTATTAAGACTAGACTGTAGAGGGACAAGGATTAAAAGCAATATGACCTGTTAGGAGGCTGCTGCAGTAATTCAAGCTAGAAATGGTGACAGCTCACACCAGGGGGTAGGAGAGGAGGTGGGAGAAGGGATAGGGTTCTGAATGTATACAGCCGACAATTTGGTAACGGATTGAATGTGGTATGTGAGAGAGAAATGGCATCAAGGATGACTCTAAGATTTTTGGCCAGAACAACTAGAAGGATCAAATTGTCATCAGCTGAGGTAGGGAAGACTGCAGGTGTAACAGGGTTAGTTTTGAACATGTTGAGTTATCTATCACAATCCACATGGGGATGTGGAGCAGACAGTTACATACACAAACTTAGAGATAGTGAAAGATGTCTGGGATAGAGATGTAAACTTGATAGTACTAAATATATAGATGGTATTTAAAGCCATGAAACTAGATGAGATCACCCAGGAGGATAACAAAGAGTTTAAAAGATTACACCCTGGAGCACTGCAATCTCTAGAAGGAAGTCATGGGGGAAGAAAAGCAAAACCAAATGAAAGGAGATGACCAGTGAGGAGGGAGAAACACCAAGAGAGTGTGATGTCCTGAAAGCCAAGTGAAAAAATGTGTCAAGAAGACAGGGATTGGTCAACTATGTCAAAAGCTATTGATAGGCCAAGTAAAATGAAGGTTAAGAATTGATCACTGTGAGGGGTACCTGGGTGGTGCAGGCCATTGAGCTTCCGATGAGCTTCTCAGCCTAGGTCTGATCTCATGCTGTGTGAGTTCAAGCCCCACATTGGGCTATGTGCTGACGGTGTGGAGCCTGCTTGGGATTCTGTCTCTCCTCTCTGCCCCTTCCCAGTTTGTGCTCTCTCCCTCTCTCTTTCAAAAATAAATAAACTTAAAAAAATTTTTTTAATCTTAAAAAAAAAAAAAAAAGAATTGACCTCTGTGATGAATGTTCTAAAACCAACAGAGGTGATGGTTGCACATACCTGTAGATATACTAAGTGTCTATTCATATCCTCTACCTATTTTAAGTTGTTTGGTTCTTATTGTTGTTGTGTTTTTTGAGTTGTTTGCGTTCTTTATATATTTTGGATATTAATCCCTGGTCTATGATTTTCAAAAATCGTCTCCCGCTCAATTGGTTGCCTTTTCATTTTGATGATGTTTTCTTTCAATGTGCAGAAGCATTGTAAAGTAATCCTCTTTGTTTATTTTTGCTTTGGTTCCCCTTGCCTTTGAAGTCTGGTCCACAAAATTATCAGTAAGACCAAAGCTGGGGAGCTTACTGACTATGTTTTCTTCTAGGAATTTTATGGTTTCAGGTATAACATTCAAGTCTTTAATCCATTTTGAGTTAGTTTTTGTGTATGGTGTAAGATAGTGATCCAGTTTTTCCAATACCATATATTGAAAAGACAATCCTTTCTCCATTGTATGTTCTTGGCTCCTTTGTCATGCATTAATCATCCATATGTGGGTTTAACTGTGGGCTCTCAATTTTGTTCCATTGCTCTGTGTGTCTGTGTTTTTGATAACCATAGCTTTGTAGTTTGCAATCAGAGAGCTGATACCTCCACTTTGTTCTCTTTCTCAACATTGCGTTGGCTGTTTGGGATCTTTTGTTGTTCTATACACATTTTAGAATTATTTCTAAAACTGTTCTGTGAAAAATGCCATGGGAATTCTGATAGGGATTGGATTGAATCTGTAGATTGCTTTGGGTAGTATGGACATTTTAACAATATAATTCTTCCAATCCATGAGCCGAGCATAGAGTATCTTTCCATTTATTTGTCTTTTTCAATTTTTTTCATGAATGTCTTATAGTTTTCAATGCACAGGTCTTTCATCTTCTTGGTTAAATTTTGTGCCTATATTTTATTCTTTTTAAGATTAAAAAAAATGTTTTATTTGAGAGAGAGGCAGAGCGCGAGTGGGGCAGGGGCAGAGAGAGAGACACACACAGAATCTCAAAGCAGGCTCCAGGATCTGAGCTGTCAGCACAGAGACTGATGCGGGGCTGGAACCCACAAACCACAAGATCATGACCTGACCTGAAGTCAGACACTTAACTGACTGAGCCAGTTGAGCCACCCAGGGACCCCTATTTTATTATTTTTGATGCAACTATAAATGGGACTGTTTTCTTAATTTCTTTCTGATAATTCACTATTAGTATATAGAAACACTATGGATTTTTGCTTGTTGATTTTGTATCCTGTTACTTAAGTCATTTATCCTAACACTTTATTGGTGGAATCTTTCGGGTATTTTATATATGACTCATGTCATCTAGAAGTAATGATAGTTTTACTACTTCCTTTCTCATTTGGGTGCCTTTTATTTCTTGTTCTTGCCTAATTACTGTGTCTAGGACTTCCAATACTATGTTGAATAAAAGTGGCAAGAGTGTACATCCTTGCCTTGTTCCTGTTCTTAGAGGAAAAGCTTTCAGCTTTCCAACATATTAACTGTTGACTTGTCATGTATGACCTTTATTATGTTTACATACATTCCCTCTAAACTGTCTTTGTGGAGGGTTATTATAAATGGATGCTGGATTTTTCAAATGACTTTTCTGCACCTATTGAGATGATCATATGATTTTTATCCTTCATTTTGTTAATGTGATGTATCATGTTGATTGATTTGTGGATGTTGAACTATCTTTGCATCCCTGGAATAAATTCCACTTGATCATGGTATATGATCCTTTTAATCTATTGTTGAATTCAGTTTGCTAATATTTTGTTGAGAATTTTTATATCTGTGTTCACCAATGATATTGGCCTCTAATGTG